TTTTTTTTTTTTTTTGTTTTTCATTTTCTCTCTTCTTTTTTTTTCATTTCTTTTTTCTTTCTTCATCTTTTAATCAAAAGTTAGGAAGAAGAAAATGAATAAACAGATTTCAAGCTTTCTTCAGATTCAAGGCGAAAAAATTACAGAACTGGTTGTTTGTACTGCACTTATTGTTTGATGGAACTTATGCCTTTAATTACATTTGCAAGTGACGAGTACTTAGTTCCACATAAATAATTCTTTTTCTTTCGTAAGGCGATAATTGATGTGTCCATTACTTTTACTATGAACCACAGCAGGGTTTAAAAATAAGAAAAAAAAATAAAAAAAATAAAAAAATAAAAAAAAAAATAACACTGTTAAAAAATTATGAGCTTACAATAACAATTAACAAATGCAAGTTCCGGAATTCTACAAGGGATATTGACTGCTTTTCTTGACCTCCTCAGTTCCACTTGAGGTGGTCCTCGATTTTACACTAGACAATGCTGTTAAACTAAACATGAGTTTTTACGAACGTCTGATGTTCAGTAAACACCGACTTTGTGAGGAATCGGTCGGAAGAAGTCGAAAATTAAAGAGAAGCACAAACGGGAATGAATTCACAAAAGTAAACAGTTACGCGTAACGCTCATTCCAATGTACGAAGAAATGTTTGATTGAGAGATAAAGAGAAGCAGTTTTTCAGATGGTTAGTGCATTATTTGGTGTATAAGTTTACAAATTTGTTACACGTATAAATGGAGTCTTATCAAGTAATAATTTTACTTAAATTTTAGTTTTAATGAAAGATGATCTTAATTAAACTTACCGCAGCATTATTGCCGGAAATTCTATGAAAGGTGAGAGAATTTGAATGTAATATAAAAAAATTTCTGATTTATTATCATAAGAATGTATTGGTTGCAATGAATAATAAAATATGACTTAAAATTTTTGATCATAACGTTATCTTTGTTTACTTTGATTTCAAAATCAGCATCTATATGACAAATGACTTTTCAACTTTGGTGTCAGTGCCCATTATACAAATATGATTTTTATTTCTAACTTACCAGCTCCTGTCTCATAGTACTCGAAAGTAAGATGTTAGCATTGAAAGTTGCACAAAAGTGCACTGAAACAGAGGGAAAAAAATTATCGTTGTGTAAACGAGGTGCCTAGTTAATCCGCACCAAAAATAGAACAGAAACCATATGGCATAAAAAATCTTTTCAAAACTGTTTTTTTTGGCACTGCAAAACAGCTTGAGTACCGCTTCTAAATCTTGACACGCAGAAATTTTTGTCAAGACAGTTCAGAATTTGCTGAAATACAAAGTTTAAAAAAAGAAGTCTACTATAATTTGAATGCGTAAATATAACTATTCCGTTTTTACTTCCTTCCACTGTCATCGCAATGTCATAGCAAACAACAAACTACGTTGATTGAACGTCTCAAACACTACAAATCAATAAATTACTATTTTTTTGAGTATTTTCAACTACCCTTTGACGTCTAAACCGGTTTCAGTTCAAAAAACATTATTTTTAGTTTGTTTGGTGTTATTAAATTTGTATTCAGTTTTAAAAATAAGCACATTAAACTGAGATCTGTGTT